TACGCAGCTCTGCGTACATCAGGGGTTATTCAGGGGGTACAATGGGGTTATATCTGGGTTATACCCCCTTGTAACCTCCAGTATAACCTGGATATAACTCCCCTGTACCTCCAGAATAATCTCTGATGTACGCAGCGCTGCGTACATCTTATGTACGCAAATATTCTAGAGACCATCTTATTTATATATAAAAACAAATATTTCTGTTTTTTTTTTAAGTTAAAATAATGATATTTTTAATGTAATAGAATAGAAGTTTAGATTTACATACATACATACCTCTACTGGGAGCGAAGCACTTCCTCTCAATTCATTAGGCCTTGGGTAAATTCGATGGGAGCAAACACCATTTTGGGATTCAGAAAGAGCCCTCTGTGAGGTTTGGTCGGTAGGGGGCACGACCGACTTCAATATGGGCTCAACATTGGTATCACCTAGTTTCAAGCCCTCTATATTCCTCTCGTCATCTTTCTTTGAAAGCACTAAGATCGTATTTGGTAAGAAAAGAAGCTTCAGTCGAACAAAATGACATTACATTACCTTCAAGAAGCGGACCAACATTGCTCTGGTCCAAGACTATGCCTTTTTCGGTGCAACCTCCTATAGGAGCACCGTCAGTAGAAGGAGATTCCCCAAACACAGTTGCCAAAGGAACCCATTGATCCACAGATATATCTGCATTTCAAAAAGATATGGCAATTCATGTGCCCTCTTATTAATTCAAGGCGTCCATGATCAAGAAGCACAACACACTCACCCTTGGAAAAAATTTGCGTACGATAGACGTACGCAGCGCTGCGTGTGATTTCAAGGTTACAGGGAGGGTATAAGGGGTTATACCCGTGTTATAACCCCTTGTAACCTCCATGTAACCTTCTGGTAGGCTACATGGAGGTTACAAGGGGTTATAACACAGGTATAATCACTTTATACCCTCCCTGTACCCTCGAAATTGCACGCAGCGCTGCGTATGTCTATCGTACGCAAATTTTTTCCCCATCGAAGCCAGGATCAGCAAGAAATGTGAAACCAATTTCCCTCCGCCATTCCAACAAGTTGAAAGACTGACTTTCTAATGGGTTGTTCAAATCAAAAGGAATTCTTCCTGATAGACAAATCATCGGAGGCAGCAGCATTGTCCCGCCATCAGGAATAACCTTTATCCACAATAGATCTAGCACTTTCAGGTTTTAGCAAGGAGATCACGAGAAGCACCTTCCTCCATGACGTTCCACTTCCCAGAACATTTGATCTTCATCTTCATCTGTAATTCCTCCTCTATAGACCTAAGTTCCTTCAGTCTTGGTTGATGAAGTCTGGCCTGAAGGCACGACCTTGAGACCTTCATCCATTCAATGGGGGCCTTATCCACTGCAAAACTCAAGAGTTGAAAATTTTCAAAGATCTCAACAAGGAGTCACTCTTCTTTAAAATGAAAAAATATTATATCAGTGCTACGCACGTAGAGTAACATGCGTAGTCAATGAAATAAAGCCACGAGACCCTGCGCGACAGTGAAAAAAAAACGGAGCAGTAACACGGAGAATATTCCCCTCCGTGTTATTCATGTGTTATTGTGTATTATTCATGTGTTATTATGTCCTAGGAATATTCTTGATGTTATAATAACACAATAACACATCAATAACACATAAATAACACATAATAACACATGAATAACACGGGGAATTATATTCCCCGTGTTACTGCGCCGTTTTTTTCTCTGTCGGGAATATTCCCGTGTTATTCAAGCGTTATTGTGTGTTATTCATGTGTTATTGTATCCTGAGAATATTATTGGTGTTATAATAACACATCAATAACACATGAATAACACGCAATAACACATGAATAACACGGGAAGAATATTCCCCGTGTTACTGCGCCATTTTTTTTCTCCTGTCGCGCGTGGCGTGATTTTATTGGCTAAGCACGGTATTTCTAAGTGCGTAGTACTGATGTAATATTTTTTCCTTTAAAATAGGAACTTACGGTTCCCACAAAATACATATTTATTGGCTCAAAAGAGAGTATAAGTTCAATAACTACCATAATTAATGTTAATTTTTAATATTAACTGTATTTTCTTTGAATAGCTTAACAGCGTAACAACTAACGTTTAGGACACATACATGCAACACCATAACAAGCACAATACAATACTTATTCTCTATCAAACGGACTACCAAGAACATGGAAGTCTCAACTCCCATACTTGTTACCTTAATTCTTTCGAACTTAAATCCAACAACATAACAAGGCAACAACAGAAGTTGGGAAACATATATTCGAGAGCATGACAAGCACAATACGATACTTATTCTCTACAAAAACAATATCAAGAATAGGGAAGTGTCAACTCCTACTCTTGTAACATTATGCCTTTCAAACTGAAATCCAACTATACTGGAAAACTATCAATGCTCGTCATAATACAACTCAAACAATTAAACTCCCACATAATAGAGTACAAAACCATCAGGTCACACCAGGCAAAATAAATATTTACAAATAAACTCCTTGTTGGAGAGTCAAGGCCCCTGAAGACAAATTGACCACGCTGATCTAAAAGCATAAGAAACTACTCCCTGCAAGTGTAGCACAAAGTGCCCCCGGTGGTGAAGGTTTATCCCAACTCAAACATGAGCGTAAGATGATCTAATTCCTTGCAAGTATAGCCGAAGTGCCCCCAAATCAAAAAAATTCCGCTATGAATCATATTACATTTATGTCTTGAAGATTTTTCAAACCTAGTTGTAAATTGTAACAAAGAAATGAATATTTTTTTAGTTGGATGAAACCGAGAATCTCAGTCCCTTATCGAAGAGCCAAGAGAAATGGAGAACTAAATGTATACCCAAATACAACAATATACTTAAATAAATCTTTTTAAAGGGCACAACATAAGGATCAACAGGCCTTATAGGCTTTGAAGGCTCATATCACAGGATCATGCCATTCTCGAGCTAGCCCACCCATCGAAGTGGTCAAATTAAGTATACCCGCCGAACTGGTTGATCTAGCCCAAGATGAATCAACTTTTAGAAAAGATCATCATACACAAAAGGGCATGCTTCCATCCATATTTAAAGTGCCGCCTGATATCCACATCACGATCTTTTCATCAAGGCACCCCACCATTTCTTTCAGCTATTCCTTTGCCCAGGGATCCTTAGAAAAAATAGAATAGGAACCGAGTCTTAAAAATACATCTATCATCTTCTTCCATACATTCCTCATGAAAACCAGTCTTTATCAAGTTGTATGAACTTACAAACAATATAATATCCTACGTTCTAAAAGTATTCAACACATTCAAAATAAACAAATAATCATTACATCAAATAAAAAATATGAATTGATAAATAATTTACATGCTATGGATCATGCGGCTTCCTTCGATGCTATTCTCTGAAAACAAACAAGGAATTCAGTATTCCCCTCCGCACCTTTTATGGGGGACTCTATCCAGCCTTTGTTACAGAATCCCAACTCCTCTACTCCTTTAATTATTCTTTCAAGAACCTGACGGCAGAAAGCAAATCAAGAAAGAATTTATTTTTTTTTCTAGGCACTGCATAAAAAGAAAATAAATAAATTATTGATTTACATATATACCACTCAGTTCTTAAGTATTTACATATTAACACCTAAACTTTTAACTTTTACATATATACCACATTTCCTATGCATAAAAGAGATGTATTTGGCTTTCTAAAAGTTAAAAGAATGGCATTTTTTATGTGATATGAAAGATCTAGGCGGTAAGAATGTAAAAAATGAAGTTTCTGTATTAGATATGCAAATGCATAGGAATTGGGTGATACATTTGTAACTGCCCCATAAATAAAATATAATCAGGATATACTACTTTGAGATGAGTGCAATATAATTTGAGGGATTCACTTACATACCACACAATTTTTATATATTGCATATATCAAATTTTCAATATTAAATTATATAAGAACCAAATCTTAAAAAATCACATAAAAAATACCACTAAGATAATTTTTTTGTTTAAAAGTGAAATATATCTTTTCATTATATTTTGATGTGATTATGACATCAAAGTATTATAGAATAAATATCAAAATTTAGATATTAAACATGTAAATATATAGTAATGGTGTGGCATGTATGTAAATCCTCCTATAAATTTTGATTAATTCTTCAAGCATTGTGCTAGAAACAAAATCAAGAACTTTGATGGTCAAATATACTCCGACTAATATTTGATTCGCGTAAAGTGTAAAATGATCCCATGACTATTTACATTTAGTCATTTTAGTCCCAAAGTTTATAAAACCGTCAAATTAGTCCCTAAACTCTTTTAATATAGGCTAAAAGAATCCCTCATTAAAAAAAAATCAGGGATTAAATTGACACTATTTTGACACTTCTCTTTTTTGGTTAATATATATATTTCTTTTGATTTAAAGGGTTCATGTCATGATTTTTTGACAAAAAATTTACGCTGGTTGTCGACCACCTAGGTTAAGAACCAAATCTTTAAAAATCACAAAAAAAATACCACTAAGATTAATTTTTTTGTTTAAAAGTGAAATATATCTTTTCATTATATTTTGATGTGATTATGACATCAAAGTATTATAGAATAAAAATCAAAATTTAGATATTAAACATGTAAATATATAGTAATGGTGTGGCATGTACGTAAATCCTCCTATAAATTTTGATTAATTCTTCATGCATTGTGCTAGAAACAAAATCAGGAACTTTGATGGTCAAATATACTCCGACTAATATTTGATTCGTGTAGAGTGTAAAATGATCCCATGACTATTTACATTTAGTCATTTTAGTCCCAAAGTTTATAAAACCGTTAAATTAGTCCCTAAACTCTTTTAATATAGGCTAAAAGGGTCCCTCATTAAAAAAAAAATCAGGGATTAAATTGACACTATTTTGACACTTCTCTTTTTTGGTTAATATATATATTTATTTTGATTAAATATTGATTTAAAGGGTTCATGTCATGATTTTTTGACAAAAAATTTACGCCGGTTGTCGACCACCTAGGTTAAGTATTGCTGAGATGAGAATGCTTAGGGGGATGAGTAACTTGACACTTGGAGACAAAATGTGAAACAAATGCATCCGTGAAGGGTTTGGTGTAGCTCCAGCGACATACAAGATTAAATAGAGTAGTCTTAGAGGGTTGGGTCACATAAAATGTCGACCATCTGATAATTCTATTATGAGAGTAAATGTTTTAGACTCAATTTATGTTAAGAACGGTAGAGGCAGACCTAAAAAGGCTTGCGCACACTGTGTAAAAATTATCTTAATTTTATTAGAATTAAATGAAAATATGGCACTCAAAAGAACACAATGGAGAAAAATGATTCATGTAGCCGACCCCACTTGGTGGGATAAAGACTTCTTGTTGTTGTCCTTGTTGTCGTCGTCGTCACATATATTTCTTTTGATTTGTCTGGTAATTCTTAACTATGCAAGTATGTTAATGATTTCAGTGCTTAAGAAAATTTATATCTGAATATCCTCGCCAAAGAACATAAATATGATGCAAAGCCTATTGAAACATACCTCCTGATGAACTGAAGGATCTCTTACAATTCCACCTCCTCCAACCTGAAAATTACAATTGAAATTTAACAGATCAAGTTCTGAGTGAGTTTAATGTGATGCGTAAACAATATATAACAAAGAAATTTACACATATTCAACAGAATTCTTATGTATTTACATATCTTACACCTAAATGTTAATATCGTAAATATTAATTTTTCTAAAGTGAAATGAAACTTCACATAACAGTATTTTGATATAATTAAGACATTGAAGTGCTACATAAGTAAATATGTGGTATGTATGTAAATTCCCCTATATAATAATATGAAATACTGAAGTGCTTAATCGATAAGATAGTGAAAAATCAAAATGAATTGGATAACAAACCTGGAATCTATGAGCTTCAAACTGAGGCTTAACAAGAGTTACCAATGTAGATTCTGTCTTCATAACTTTGACAACAGCAGGCATCACCTGTACATATATATCTGGATATGTTAAGATGAACTGACCATAGAGAATATGCCAATAATAAAAGAATATAAAAATTAATTCTTCTATATTTACATATCTACAATTCATATTTACAAGCATACCACTCAAATCTTTAACATCACATAAAAAATATGAACAACATTTTTTAAAGGTAAAATACATCTTTTCATGTATAGGTTTATAACAACTCTGAGTGTTAGATATGTAAATGCATAAGAATTATGTCGAATGTATGTAATTTTCCCTATTTATTTAAGTATGCTTGGTTTTTAAAAAGAGTTTTGAAATTTAAAAAAAAATTAATGATTCACCTTGTACAGGATCCGAATAAGTTTATTGGAATGAATGGGAGATTAAGGAAAAATGCACATCAGCTTGCAAAATAGGTATTAAGAAAAGAGAGCATACCAAAAGGATAGAAATAAACGATAGATCCAAGGTCACCAAATCCACTTCTTCAGGCAATTTCGATAGAAATCTTAAGTTCGTTCGTTCGATGACACATACACGGTCATCGCGTCTAATTTTTTCGGCTACCTGTAAAAGCAATTGCCGGAATATAATTCATTAAAAATAAGGGGGATTTACATACATACCACTCAAATTTTTAACATCAAATTAAAATTTGCCACCACCGCTATCTTTTTAAAAGTGAAATACACTTTTTCATGAATAAGTTTATGATATCATGGAGTTCTAAGCGTCAATATCAAAGTTTGGGTGTTATATAGGTAAATATAACAGAATTATGTGGTATTTATGTAAATTTCTCTAAGAATAAACTTTAAAAAATTTCTCTAAGAATAAACTTTAAAAAATAAAATAACTTGATAAAATGCGAACAAAAAATAAGGCATGCATGTTGACCTCATTTTGTTGACCTCATTTTGAGGTCATTAATTTTGAGGTCATTATTCTTTTTCTTAGGGTCTTAGGATCTAGCTCTAGGGGTTTCTATTGACTATCCTAGAAAACTAAAATTGGGACCCGCACTTTTTAGAAATTCTAGCAATTACTTATTTTCCTGTGCTGTCTAGCATTTATGGTCTCAAAACCATCATCTTATGTACAAGCAGTTAAGGGATATTGAGTAAAGACTCAAGGAGAAGTTCCCAATAGAACCTCAAGCCATAGGAAAACCTCTTCACAACTTTATCGTCACATACACACACCAAATGCACAAAATTCAAAAAATTGCACGAGGTCGAACTTCAATTAAGCTTAAAGAATGGGTGAAAATGCGAACTTCTCCGGATGACCCCCGATGACGAAATGGACTGCGCCAACGCGTCCGGGACACCAATTTTAGTGGCAAAGAACACCCATATTACCACATTTCTGACACGAAAAAATTTGCACGCAAATCGATGAATTCATCAAAATGACCTCCGATGACAAAACGGACCGCGTCTGCACGTCCGAAATGTCAAAATTACTTAAAAGGAACATCCATTTTTGATATGTTATGACGTACAAATAAAAGAGGCGGATCAAATTTTATTTTTCAAATATTTGGTATTTTTATAATTATATCACTAATTATAATTTAATTTAAACCCTAAACCCTATTTACACCTCTACCCGCACTTTTAGGCCATCCCGTGGCTCGATCGGTCGCTCGTCTGCTCGGCCCTCGTGCCCTAGTTCACGTGTCTCCTCTATCGTTCGCGAATGAGCCCGAGCCTTTCTCTCCCGCGTCTCCTTTGTCATTCGCGCATGAGATGGCTCGCCTTCTTTCCTCACATGCGGCATTCCGCTGCCATTCGTGCACGCGGCTCGCCTCCTAGACCTCTGCTCGACCGAGCGGCTTTCCACCTGACCGACTCTTTCTCTGCCCTAGGCCGCATTTCCTCTTGCCTTAAATCCTTCCCTCCTCTCCTTTTACCTGATTTGCTCACCAAGGAGGCTGGCAGGTGTCTGCTCTTCTCCTCTCTTGCTTATAAAACCCATTTGGGGGAAGGTCTAAGATTGGCCGAAAATTTCTTGAGAAGGGGAGGTGCAGTCATTTTTTTTTTTGGTTAGTTCATCTTGTGTGTGTGCTTTAAATATTTCTGGAATTTTGTTTTGTTTGAAAAAAAAAGGGAAGGTTTTCAAGACAAGAGAGCTTTTGGAGGAACTTAGTGTTTTCTGTCTTTCTTCTTCATTGTTAGGAAAGCTACCTCTTTCTGTTTTGCTGTTCGAGAGGAGGTCTTCTTCCCCTCTGTTGTTCGAGGATCTTGAGGCTTGGATTTGTCAAACCGTGAGGAGTATTTGCGGGCTGCTGTTGGAGTGATTTTCTTGAATCTATCTTATACTTTCTTTGCTTTAAGTTTGCATAAAGAAAGAGATATTCTTCTCCTCTCCTCTATTTTGCAATATTTCGGATGACATGAAATATGGAAGCGAAATTAAAGCCTGTTCTGAAACTTAAGCATAAAATAGTCCATGAAAATATTAAAATGGAGCATGTTTTGGTTGCTTTCTTCTCCTTTTCTGCTCGAAATACATAGGAAGCATGCTTAGGCTTATTCTCACATGCAAATATTCTCCTTAAACTCCTGCTATTTCTATACTTATATGTTGGAAGTTGTGGCTTTCTTTATTTGCTCCTTGCTAAAGCAATTCGTAGATAAATGAAGGATGAGTTTTGTTAAAAAAAAAAAAGAGAAAGTTGGCTTGCATTTATTTTCTGCTTGAAATACATGAGAAGTCATGAGTATGAGCTTTGGAACAAGATTTGCCCATTTACAATTCATGTTAGAATTTATCTTTAACAAAGAGATACGTCGGCTTTAGGGATGTATGCACACTCATATATTTCCTATTAGTTGTTACTATTCGGAATATATTTTGAATGCAACATCTTGAAACATGAGATTTTGATAGGGCTGATTTTAATAGCTCTATTTTGCCCCCTGTGTGGGGCTCAGTTTAGCCTCTATGCTGCTCGTTTTTGCCCTTTCTGCTGGGCTCGGTTTGCCTCCCCTGTGTTGGCTCGGTTTTGGAATTGGATCTTGGCTGGAAATGTTTTCATCTGTTTCATTTATTTGGATGATTTGATTTTTGGCTCAATGAGGCCGAAATTATAGTTGAAAGGTATATTTTGTTTTAGCCCATTTAGTGGTTTCGGTTTTGATGCATTCGAGATGAATGAATGTTGGAAACTATTCTCTATTTTCCTACTTTTAATGTGACTCGATTTTAGTTCTTTTGAAATAAGAAAATGCTAGATGTTATTTCCCTTAAGCTCGGTTTGCCCCTCTCTTGGGGTCGATTTGGGCTCTAATTTGGTGATTTATGTAGGCTGAAGTCCCTTGTTGTTTTGGACTATTTCTTGAGCTTGGTTTGCCTTTGTATTGGGCTAAGGTTGCCCCTTTGGGTTGCTGCCCCTTTTCCTGGCTCTGCCCGTAAGCTTGTTTGGGGCTAAATTAATGACTGTTTGGGAGCTTTTAAACTGCTAGCTTTGCTATAGCAAAACTGTAGGAAGCTGTTGTTGGTTGTAGGAGGTTCAGAATTGTTGTTTGGAGCAGTTTGGAAGCTTAAAAGTGTCATTGATTGCTGTAGTTAGCTGTTTGGGTGTTGTAATTACTGTTTGCACTCATGTAGTTGGTAACTGGGCCCATATAAATGTTGTTTGGTGGCTATTTGACGACTGACTTTGTGGTGATTTTGTTCCTTTTTTGAGCCTTACTCGTGAGCTATTTGGAAGCCTGTTTTTGGGCTGTTTTCCTTCTCTTTGTCGTGCTTGCCCATTCACTCTCCTATGTATATCAAGGCAATGTAATGATAATACCCATGAGGGTTCTCTTTCACTATTCGTGGCCATGAATGGGGTTTGTTTCCCTCTTTTTTGCCTTTAGCCATGAACTTCATTGCTGCTGTCAGTATCGTATTTTGCTCGGTTTTAGCTTTCTTTTCATTTCTCCTGAATGTGGATCTTTTTCTTTAATTCTTTTATGATTGAAAATGTTTGATTTGGGATTAGTTTTCCCCTTTATTGCCCTTAGCTGCAAATCTTAATGTGGTGAATATTCACATTTGCTATGAAGGACTATGTTTTTAAAGTTTTACTCGCCACATTTTGAAGTTTTATTCGTGAAGGTTTAAGTTACATTTTGAGACTTTTAAATCCTTGTTTGAAAGTGATTCGATCATTTTTTTTACGAGTGTAAATGCTTTTAGGCCGATGCACTTACGATTTTGCTCCCGACTTTACTGATTTGACTTTGTTTTAAAAAGTGGATCGACATCTTTTTTTGTTTGTTTTGTTTTTTTAACGGTTAAGTTAAAAATGAGAATTTCCAATTTAATTATTTTCGGAAATGTTTCATGATCTTAAAAAAAAATATGAAGAAAAGAGAAAGGGAGAGGAAATTAAAAATGAAATTTGGTCTGTTGAGATGATAGAAACCTAAATAGGAGATAAGATAGTAAACCAATCACAATTTCTTTCGCATAAGAAAGATGAAATTGTAATTAGAAGAATAGTTGAGATTTGGAAGAAATTAAGAGTTTAAATGACAATTAGGAGCATGGATTGAAAGATCAGTAGACTTGCATTTAGGTCCCTTAAGCTTTGAATAAACGTAAACACAATTGCTTTAACTAGGATTGAAGCACATTTCACACCCCTTTTGCAAAAATTATAGATTTACCCATAAGTCTTACGAGTCTGATAGCGAGCTAAGCTTGATCTAAAGATGTTCGAAGATTAATGGAAAAACACTTAATTGAAGATAGACACTTTAGAACACTTCAGGCTCAAACTAAAGTGTAGACTTCCTAGGTCTTAGGAGCACACCCTGAGAAAGTTCATCATCGTAATTTTCACATGAACCTAAGAAGTCAGACATCTGACCCTAGTTCATAAGTTAATTAGGACACTAGACACGATGGTGCACTAAGTTGTGGTTCATGACTGATTTAATTAAATAAAAAAATGAAATTCTTGCCTTAACTTGACCAAAAATGAAATCCAATGCTCTGGGATTTGAGCTTGAATCTTACACTCAGATCCTCCTGGCAATTGGGGATATTCTCAATATCACATATAAATCTCCTATTTTTGGTCCTTTATATGTGATGTTGTGTTTTGTTTTGTTTGTTTGTCTTTTTTCCTACGATTTGTCAGTTTTCTCGAGTTTTTCAGGTCGTGCTTTCTCCTATTTACACAGCACATACTAGCTAAGCTCAAAGGAGCAGCAGTCCTCTTAAATATACATGTTTAATTTACATTACAATATTTTATTTCACAGCATATTATATTGTTCTCCTAGCTTATTATACTATTTTCCTAGCATGTTATACTATTTTCCTGACATGTATATTGTTCTCCTAGTTTGTCATACTATTCTTCTAGCATGTTATATTATTTCTTTCTTCTTTTATATCACATGTTTTATTTGTTTTGATACACACTATACCTTAGTATGGGATAACCTAGTTGTTAGGTGCGTTTTCAAAACTAAAACTAAACCTGGAGGTGTTATGACGAAGAGCTTGGAGCGAATACGTGGGCAGCACGGTGAGGAACAACTTCAAAATGGATCTGCAATATCAAACATTTTCACGTCACCTATCACTCTCTTTAGTTTAAATAACAACCCCTAGGATTTCGAGGTAGTTTGTCTAGTGCAGCGTAAACCCTCATATATCACCTTTAGGCTTTTGCACAACCCTGGTTATGCAATTATAAGTCCTAACGCTTTAAGATTTCGAGGTGACCGTACGGTACGGTGTAAATCCTCCTATCTTTTTAGGCTATTTGCACAATCAGATATCGTGCGAATATAAATCCTGAATTATAAATAAATTGTAGGATTAAATATTAAATAACATCATTTCAAAGATATAAAGCCAAACAGTAGGATAGTTGGGAAGTCACCGGGATTTTCCCTGGATCTGTGATATCCCCTACTCTTCATATTTTGGATTCCTGCAAATAATTAATCATGTTTGAGTCACGCCCATTTGATTTTCCCATGTTCAATCTTGGAAACCTAAACTTTAAAATTTTGAAGGCAAAATCATTGATCTTAATCGAGAGTTTTCTTAAGTGACCCAAGTCATTTAAGATGTAATTAACTATAGGGGCTTACCTCTATAGGGAACTTGGAACCCATGTAAAATAAACTCTATCTAATCTTTATATTAGGTAGGGGAACGTGTTGACCTTATATAAAATATTTCGCAGACCAAACTGATGTCATAAATTCTTTAGTTTAGGTGATTGAGTCTACTACAGGTGATATGTTTATTCTTCGGGATAAGTGTATTACTTGTGGTATCGTGTTTAGTCACCCAAACTATTCAAAATGTGAGACTCGTTTGGTCTCACCTATTTTTAAATCAAAATGTTACTTTCAAAAATCATATTCATATCAAAATTATTTTCATATTTTTCCTATATTTTTCAAAATCAAATATAAACTGGCCGACAATGCATTAAACGTTCTAAAAATTCCCAGAATGATATCAATCAGCTTCAACAGATGCTGGAAGAAGTTACCTTTGCCAAACTAGAATCAAGAACAGAAGAAAAACTAATGGGTTAGTTTACAAAATTTAAATCCTAAAAACTTTCAAAAAAAAAAAAAGGAAGACTTGCATACATCCCACTCGATTCTTATGTATTTACATATCTAATACCTAAACTTCAATTTTCACATATATGACACCTTACCTATGCATGAAAAGGTGCATTTCACTTTATAAAAGTTAAAAAAGTAGTAGTTTTGGTGCGACATTAATGATTTGGGTGTTATAAATGTAAAAAGTATAGTTTAAGTGTTAGATATGTAAATACATAGCAATTAGGTGGCATGTATGTAAATGCTCCCTAAAAAATTCATTTAGTGTCTGGAACACACCTATTTATGTTTAGTAATAATAACAGCTTTTAGAGTTGTTCACATTCAAGAATGTAAATCATGCAAAAATCAGAGCAAATTTTGTGGCAGAATTTATTGGCGGATAAGTAAAAGATTGTCATTGGCTGAGAAAACAACAAAAAAAAGTTTATTTTAGACCTTATAATAGTATGACCTCTCGGTCTATAAAATATGAAATAAAATAAAATGATTAAAGTAAAAGAATCTAGTATTCTTCAAAATCTACTTTCAAAAGCAAATTGTAGAAGCTAACAAAATAATATTCTTATCTGCATGAATGACAAGCCATATGACAGGTAAGATGAACAGAGAATAAATATTGAGAAAATATACTTAGAAGGCTATGTTCTCTAAGAAAAAACCAAATTAGAAAAGTAAGCCTCCATGGCGATCATTAGATACACAACACTAGTAACATTGTTATTTACAAAATTAGCAGCCAAATAAATTTTTGACCTACCGAATCCATGCATTGACATGTATCACGATCAAACCATTGAGAATTTGATAAAAATGAAAATTAAGAGTTAGGATTTTATTAGAGTGACAATATGAAGAATAGACGAAAGAGGGTGCTAGATTTGTAAATAGCAATGTTAGAGTGCTTTGTATGTAATAGCCAAAACAAGAAAAAAATATTCATCCAAGCTAGCCACTAGAGAATAATGGAAGATTTACATGCATAACACCAATTCCTATACACAGCCACTAAAGAATAACAGAAAATTTACATGCATACCATTCAATTCCTGTACATTTACATATCTAACACCTAAACTTCAATTTTTACACATATACCATCTTACCTATGAATGAAAAGGTGCATTTCACTTTTTAGAAGTTAAAATAGCGGTGCAGGTGTAAGATATGAACATACATAGGAATTGGGGGGTACGTATGTAAATACTCAAAAAAATAATTCATTTTGGAGATGAATACCTGTCCATAGCCTACATCAACGCCATAAACAAAGGATGCTCCATGCTGAAGCAGACAATCAGTAAAGCCGCCGGTTGAAAGCCCCGAATCAAGTGCTACCTTTCCAACAACATCAATGCTAAGTTGTTCAATAGCAGCCTCTAGCTTGAATCCTGCTCTGTTGAAGAGTTATTCAACAGAAGGCAAATAATAGTAAGTTGAAAATAGAAATTATAAATCAGATAAAATATGCGGACTTTTGAACGAATCATCACCTACATACATATTTTGGAATCTCAGCTTTAATCTCTACAACTGATTTCTCAGATACAGGTGTTCCAGCTTTATTTATCACTCTTCCATCTACCGAAACTTTTCCTGCAGAGAGAATCATTAAAAAAAGGGAAATTTACATTCCTAGCAGAAAATTCTTGTATTCACATATCTCACACCTAAACTTTCATATTTACATACATAGCATTTTGGTTCTTTAAAATCGTGCATGAAAAAGGTATAGCTTACCTTTAAACAGTGGTAATAGTGCTATTTTTTATGTGGTATTAAAAATTTGATTGCTATGTGTGTAAATATAAAAGTTTAGGTGTGCTGACACATATTTTCACAAATAAATTAAGGGCTAGCAATTATTTTTCTTCATGATCCAAATAACTCAACATGAATATATAAAAGATAAGCACCTACAATTCGAGATGTGGGGGATCTCTCCCAAATCCTATAATTCGAGAGATAGCTCGCTACAGAAGAAATTCAAAATAGTGTCTGAATTTTTTACACTGTTATTTGCATCAGATTGGATACTGTTACGCAGCGGAAAATAGTTAATGTTATCTGCAGTGGACTTTGCGTCGGATTTGCCTCTGATTATTCGACGCAAAAGACTATCCATTAAAGGCTAAATTTACATTGGTGTTGAGACAATTTGTGAGTCTCATTTGCGTCAAATAAATCGAGGCAAAAGATTTACTTAAAAGCGTCGAATAATGCTGACGCAAAGTAGACAAAAAATCCAACGCAAGAGAAATAAAATACCCATCCCATGCTCTCTGTTTCATTTTCTTTTACGCACGCCCCCGAAACCCTCAAACCTGCTCTTCTCCCCTCTCACGATGCTAAAACTCTCTCCTGATACCTCAACGTCGTCGTCACCCTCACCGTCACCGATCAACCTCGCCCTAGCCAACAGTGTTGTTGCTCTCTCCCAGTTCTGTGACTGATCGAGGAAGGTAATGATATTTGCCCTTTTTTTCCTTTTAAAATTTTGGTATATAAGATTTGAAGTTTAGGTGTTAGGTATGTACATACATAAGATTTCAGTGGTATGTATCTTATGTATTGAAGTTTAGGTGTTAGCTATGTATATGCATAAGTATTGAGTGGCATGTATGAGAATCAAGATGGGGATGCTATTAGTAGATTTCAAGTTGGTTGATTGAAATAGTGGAGTAATGCAACGGGACTATTATTAAAAGTGACGTTGATATAGATGAGAACGTAATTATTCATAGAATCCAAGTTGGTTGGTTGAAGTAGTGGAGTAATGCATCAGTTCTATTGTTCAAAGTGACGGTGATATAGATGGGGATGTTATTTGTAGAACTCACGTTGACTGATTAAAGTGTACGAATGCATCGGGTCTATTGTTTAAAGTAATGGCGATATAGATAGGGATGTTATTTGTAGAATTCACGTTGACTGGTTGAAGTGGAGGAATGCATAGGATCTATTGTTCAAAATGATGGCGATAATGGGGATGCTACTTGTAGAATTCACGTTGACTGGTTGAAGTGAAGGAATGCATCGAGTTATTGTTCAAAGTGACGGTGATATAGATGAAGATTTTATTAGTAGAATTCAAGTTTGTTGAAGTGAAGGAATGCATCAGGTCTATTGTGTGATAAAAAGTACCGCTTATACTACAAGGAAAATTTTATATGGCGGTGTTGAGACCTACGGTATAAAATTTTATAAGAAGTGAAAGAATGCACTATGGCGTAGAACGTTGGCCTTTAAAAGGGAATCATAAAAAAATTTTACTTGTTGCTGAGATGAGAATGCTTAGGTGGATGAATCAGTGCCTTGACACTTCGACACTTTGAGACAAAATGATATGTCAAAATATACGTGATAGGCTCGTTGTAGATCGAGTGGTGAACAAGATTAGATAGAGATGTCTTAGACATGGTTTAATCAAATTAAATGGCGACCAATTGATGAGCCTTGGGAGATCCCGAGATCTGTTTGACAAGTAATGTCGACTTTAAATATTCATCAGTATCTACTAATTCTACTTTTTGTAATAGTTGCACTGATCTGTAAAACTATAACTATGTTGCAGATGAATATTTGTAATTTGAGAACTTGGATGTATAACAAATTATTTCCAGAACGAAAAAAACTCACTGATGAGTTCTTGAATGATGTTGAGAAATTCATGCATGTGGCACTAAAGCTGCTCATTTAACGTTCAGAGGATAAGTTTTGAATTCCCTATGCGAAGTATGAAAATCAAGCGTGTCTGCAACCCAAATAAGCTAAGTTGGATCTTTATCGCAAGGAATTTGAACCAAATTATTGGTACTGGATTGCACATGGTGAGCAAGAAAGAACTAGAAGTTCAGTATGATCAAGGAAATACCTCAACAAGTTATGACACTCCAGCAACGGAATATGATATTACCACATACGAAGCAATGATTCATGATACTCACAGAGCTCATTTTGTTCAGAGCGTTCCACACGTAAGTGAAACACCAAACAACGAATCACATCAATTCTATGATCAACTGAACGGTGCACAACCTTTATGGGATGGTTGTATTACATATAAAGTAATCAGTGATGCTGAGAATGTTGAGCATCAAATCCGATTTTAACATTCCCACAGAAGCATTCAATCAAGTAACAACGTTATTGAAAGAAACGAACCCAATAGAGAATTTGGTGTTGGATGATTTGTATAGAAAAAAAATTAGTTTCAAAGTTAGGGTTACAGTCTGAGAAGATTAATTGTTGTGTTAATTACTACATGATATATTACAAGGTCGATACAATCAAGACAACTAGCTGATTTTATGGTGTTGATAGATTCAAACAAATGGGGCGAAATGGTAAAAATTTGAAAAATATTATATACAATTGTCTATTTTGTTTTTGGTGTATATCTCAGCCTTAAAGGTTATTCTCTTCTATGCATATAGCTCCTCACATGATTTGTCACAGTACTGAATCTTTTGATGCTAATTCGATTAGTCATCCGCCACATTGTGATGTCTGGAGACATTTTGATCGTACTTATCCGGACTTCGCAGCAGAGAACACAAAGTTAGACTTGGCATATGTGCAGATGGTTTCACCAGTACAGTCAAGCCACAACATCGTATTCATGTGGTCAGTAATTATTACACCGTATAATTTGCCCCTATATATGTGCATGATCGTGTCATTCTTATTTCTGACGTTGATCATACCATATCCACATAACTCAAAGGAGAAAATTGATGTTGACTTACAACCATCGATTGAAGAGCTTCAAATGTTATGAGAGACGGGTGTGCTTACTTATGACATCGCTACAAAACAGAATTTTCAATTGAGAGTGACTCTTATTTGGACAATTAATGATTTATTGGCCTATGGGATGCTAGCTGGTTAGAGCACAGTCAGGAAATTGGTTTGTCCTTACTGCATGAATATGTCGAAGGCATTTACTCTGAAATATGGCTGGTTTGAGTGTCACTGAAGATTTCTAGGCCGTGATTACTCATCTAGAATGAACAAAGATGCATTTTTCAAAAACAGGGTTGAAAGATCAAGTCCACCCCCCATGATAACTAGAGTCAAAATATTGCAGATGATTAGTAAAGTACCAAAGATCACCGAAAGACCAAAATTAGCTTCAACTAGTCTTTCTGACTTCGGTGTCACAAACAACTAAACAAAACAGAGTATATTCTGGGATCTTCCATGCTAGAAGACTAATTTATTAGACATAATCTCGATGTTATGCATCTTGAGAAGAAATTTTTTTGATAACATATTCAATATTGTGATAGATATCAATGGTAAAACAAAAGAAAATGTAAAAGCTAAAATGGAAAAGAGTGTTGCAAGAGGACCTTAGAACTTCAAGAGACAAATGCAAGATAATTAATAAAGCTCAAAGCCATATATTGTTTTACATTAGATCAACGGAGAATAATATTGACTGGGTGAATTCTTTGAAGTTTTCCAGTGGCTAACTCAATTTGAGTCGTTATTTTGACTTGGGAACGGGAAAGGTGTTTGGCATGAAAAGTTACAATTGTCATATATTTATACAGTGCTGAAAATCTATTGCATTTTATGTGCTACCGAGGTCGGTACTTGATCACTTGATCGAAGTATATTATTTAGAGAGTTGTGTGCAGGGACTCTAAATGTTAACTCGTTGGGAAGTCTTGATGCGAGTATTCTCTTATTATAATGCAAGCTCGAGCGGATATTTTCTCTTAGTTTCTTTGACTATATGAAGCATCTACCTATACATCTATGTTATAAGGCTATACTAGAGGGTCCAATGTAGTATTGATGGATGTACCCTTTCGAGAGGTAACTTTCTGATATATACAATTGCGAGTTGCATTTTATTTCATATTAAACTATCATCATATGCAATGTAAACAACCTTTGTATCTCTGTGTTGCAGATTTTTAAATAAAATAAAAAAATAGTTAAGAAAAAAACACATCCAGAGGGATAGATATGCAAAACATACTCGCTGAGGGAAACAATTACTTTTTGCTCTTATTATTTTCAGTAAGGAAAGCAGATATGACATATTGTAAATAACATGTCGTCACAGCTAGAATTATCTATATTTCAAATATCATTGGAGCCATCAGAAAGGCAATGTACACGATGTCTAAGCGGTAAAAAAAATTTGGTAACTGCGACGAAATTCAGTCATTTATATAGTAAGATTCATGGTGCACAATCTCAATACTGTCATTTATTATTAAAAATATTATATATATACTAATTAACTCGAAAATACAAATAATAATGATGTGAGCTGATTATTTATCGACAGCTTTAACATGGAAGATGAGTCTCTAATAAGCAAAAGAGTTGAAGCAGAACTTCCGACATGGTACAAATTATATGTATATTGAAGCAACTCTTCAAATGACATGTACGCAATATAATCGTCACACTCGAAGTTAGACCAATTGTTCTCTAAAATTATTATAAGTCCAAAATACAAGCAATAGAATCATGAATTAGAGATTACTAGATCTTTCTTAGGGATCTAATTGCAGGGTTTCTATATGGTGGATATTTGATGTAAATAATTATAGATTTCATACGAGTTTCTAGTG